CTAGGCCCTGGCCACAATGTAAAGCCTAAACACAGTTTGAAACACAGTATAATGAACACTTCTCTACAATGGTAAACTGGCGGGGATTTTGGGAGTGGTAGGCCAAAACACCTAGAGACCCACAGGTTGGGAACCACTGCTCTAGGGCCTCTGAGAGTAGCTTCATGCTGGGATCTTACATTGATACACCAGTTTATGTATGCCAAAGTTACTTAGTGAGAATTTGCCCCCATACCTACGTAACCTGGATTGAAAAGAGAAGAGTGATCTAGATGTTTAGTTTCCAGTATAAAGATGGTACAATATCTATCTAAAGTAGATTGCCTTATACATTTTTTGGATAATCTGCTGGAAATATTTTTGAACTCCGATTCTCGGAATCTAGTCAGCATTGTTACTCATTGGGAGAATACTGAGAGCTGCAGAGTTTAAAAAGTAACATTTTTGGATGTGAAAAAGTTGCTAAATCCTCTTGATCTGAGTTAGCCCAGAAGGGACTTCTACTTTAGTACACAAAACACAACAGTGTGGCATTGGGTGGAATAATCATGAAACTAATGTTGTCTAACTAATGTAAAGTGACAGCTTTTCCTAAGCTTAATTTTATTTGGCAGTTTGGAAAGCATTACATCTGAGCGTCCAGGTTTGGCAAGGCACTTACAGACACAAAAGAGCCTCATGGTAGTTGATATGAGGATGAGTATATTAAAATAAGCCATATGTTGTAGAACAGAGATGGCATGACGCCCTTTTCAGAGTAGCAGTAGAACTGCCACCATGCTTAAAAGTGATCCCATATTTGAGGCACAATCTCTTGCCAAGTGTTCATTTCTCGCTAGAATGTTTACTCTGTTAATCATGTTCACTTACTGAAGCTAAGCTGTTGTGACAAATCGTTGTACTAAACATGGATTTGCTTTTCTATGCACAGCTAATGTATTCCATTGCATAGCAAAAGATTCCTTGCAGAGAGAACAAAGCTACAGAGCTATTTAGGATTGGTTGCTTCCTAGTACCACTAGGTGTCACTCTATATTGGGAACACCAGTGGAACCTGAGCAAGAAGGAGTACAGCAACTTCCAATAGCCCAGAAACAAGATTTGAACCAACCAAAAGTGTACAAAATAGATCTTGCAAGCTTTCGAAGCCCCATTGGCTTCTTCATCAGGCAGCAATATTGAAAAGCATACAGACCTACATTTTTTCATTTCCATTTTTCAGTTTACCTTTTTAGATATAAGGTCTGTATGTTTTTGGGAAGCACTGGTAGAGACAGGGATATACAATGGCCAAAAAGAAGCCAGAATTCCATATTCTCTATTTCATTGCAGTATGTATTTGAAAGAGTTAGGGAGGGTAGGAATCCATTATATTTTATATGTATATGTATATTAAAACAGGTTCACAATCAGTTCCAATATTGTAAAGGAAGAACAGGGGAATAATATGTTCACTTTGTCTGGAATCTGAATTCCTAGGCAAGGAGACTGCTGTGCTTCCTTCCCACTGTGATCTTGTCCATTATCTTTTCTAAGCACTGAGCTTTTTAAGACATACTTTCCTCCCCTCCTTGTCATATGAATGGCTTAGTGGATGTAGAACAGCTTCAAACAACTATGTGCAACTATTGGAACTGCAGTGATCCATCTTTCTCTTTAATAATTGCTCTTAAGATATGCAGAAAATGCAGCACTGCTGCTCTAAATTAACCCCTGCTACTCTAAATTAAAGCCTGGGGCATGTTTTAGTGAGATTGCAGTCCTATATACGAATCATTGTTTCAAATGTTGACCCTTACCCTTTCCTGACCCAAGCTTTGCTTTCCTAAATGAAATAAGGAATGGCCGCTATCTGTTATAAAAAGCTCATATTGTCAGAGGACAACAATGAGGCAAAGCAGACATAAAGCATTTGGCTAATATGAGGCTAGTTAAAATAATGAAATGCCATTGACTTGCAGTTGTTTATATCTTTCCTATAACTAGACTCAAGGAAGCGTGAGAGAGTTTAAATAAAGAAAATGGTGGAAGAGGCAGTACTGAGCTCCTTCTATTCCTGACATTTTTTTCCAACTCAGGGTCATTTGCATGCTTCTCATTCCACTCACAGTGTGATTTGGGTAAATTTTCGAATGTGGAACTGTACAATGAATAAGGGTTTGACAATAACAGACACTGTTTTTCTAGTCATAGTTGAAAATGTAGTTTTCTGTACAAAACAGAAAGATAAAGAAGCTTCTTTCCTTCATTTGCTGTCTTCATTAACATTAATATTTGATAAATTGGCATGCTTTAAGGTTACAGTTTAAATTGATCCATATCTCTTGAAATAAAACTTGCTACTTTCATATGTCCCTTTGTGGTAACATAGCTATAAATCTTATGCAATAATGTATTGCATGTGTAGGCAGTTCACAGGCATTCCTGAATTATGCACCAACAGAAGCAGAGGCATTGCTCTTTATACTGTAAGTGCAATGGAGTAACAAGATAATTATATTAAGCAATACTGCCAATAGACTGTGTAATAAGGCTTTTTTTGTTACTGGCAGTACAAGTCTCTGGTTTAATGTCTGCTTATAAATCTAACTCCATTTCATTGATTGCTAGGGGGTGAGGGTGGGGGCTGTGTTTGATTTACAGTGGCATCACACAGCCAGTGATCTAATGACAAAGACCATTTATTGTTGTGTATCGATGTGTGCTTGATATGCATGCAGGGTACCATCCAGATATTTTTATAAAAATAAAATAAACACACATAGATTGTATCATGAATGAACAGTTAGTTTTGGAAGGTGTTGACAGTTAAAATATGTGTTTGTTTCTTTTTATCAGTTCATCCTTTGCTTCAGCTTTTACCAGTGGGAACCAATGACTTATGGCAGCTACCACTATCCAGGATGGTCCATGGTACTTGGATGGTTGATGCTGGCTTGCTCTGTTATCTGGATTCCTATTATGTTTGTTATAAAAATGCACATAGCTCCTGGCAAATTTATTGAGGTAAGTCATTTATCTTACTCCCCTTTTTGTTTTGTTTTTTGTTTGTTTTTTAAAGGATAAGAATTTATGTGTTGAAAAAACAAAATTCAGAATCCATATTAAGATCATACGCGTTTTATTATTTATTTATTTATTTATTTATTTATTTATTTATTTACCTTACTTATATACCGCTGTTCTCAGCCCGAAGGCGACTCACAGCGGTTCACAACAGATACGAACAGCAAAAATTCAGTGCTACAGTATAAAAACAGTTAACAACCTAACACATTACACAATTAATAAACAGTTACTACAATACCCATTCACTGTCGTCTCATCATCAAAAACATGTTCCAGATTCGTCATCCATTGTTCCATTCCAGTGTTCATTAACCAATCATTGCACTAATTATTCGAACGCCTGCTCAAACAGCCAGGTCTTCACTTTTTTGCGGAATACCATTAGAGATGGTGCTAGTCTAATGTCCGTAGGAAGGGCGTTCCACAGCCGAGGAGCCACCACCGAGAAGGCCCTATCTCTCGTCCCCGTCAGCCGAGCTTGAGAAGCAGGCGGGATCGAGAGCAGGGTCTCCCCGGAAGATCTCAAAGTCCTGGTGGGTTCATAGGCAGAGATGCGGTTGGATAGGTAGCTTTATAGAGCCAACTAAGAGGGAAAGAAAATGTATATGACTTTTGAGAGTGCTAGATTTCTTTCACAGGAAAAGAGAAGGTGCTGTAGAATAAGGGAAAGGAAAAGCTGACTTGATGTAGTCATGCTGCCTACAAGATGTTTGGAGAAAACAGATCTGCGGATATTCAAATGGGGCACAGCGGTGGGCAGTTAAGCTGAGGGAAGGGCCCATTTCTGTCTCCCTTTTTGGCCCTAGTATGCCAAAATGAGAATAGGAGTGATGTTTACATTGAGGATTGGATGGTCGGGGGACTCTAGAGCGTCTTGGGAGTCTTCAGAGGCTGAAAAAAGAGGTTAGGGTCTGATTATACACAGCTGGTGTAGGAGTAATGAAGTTCTGTTTCTTCCTATTCATCCAGTTCTTCAACTCATTGAAATTTCACACCATATGTTGTTTCAGTACTAGTGTTGTACTGCAATAATATAGATGTGTTTGCAGAAGGGAACGATAGCATGCGCTGTTCCCTCATGGCTCAGTGCTTTGCACATTTTCCGAGCAATAAAGAAAATAGTGTACCAACAGCTAACATAGCTGGAATAGAATGACATCCCACTCATAAGGTGAGCATAGCCATTTATACCAGGGAAAGAGACTTCTGAATAGGTCTAGGACAAAACAAATTTACTTTTGACGATTTAGAAAATTTGTCCTGGAAAATGTCAATCTCCAAAGTGCCTCAGAGTTTAAAGCATTTGCATAATTTAAAAGTATTAAAATATTATAACTAAGAAAGATTGCACTTCACAGTTTTAATGGTTAGAGGTTGTGTGTACTTTCAATACACAGTTGACTTTCAGTCTCTATATGTACCACATGTGTCCATGTAAATATTTGATTTTTTAAAAGCGTGTGTATAGTCTTGATGTGTAACCTGTATTCAGGACAGAAGGCTGATGTTTGGGCGGAATACAGAGAAACAGAATGGTTTTCAATTTCCAAAGAAGGTCAGGCAAGGCTTCATTCTGTCACCCTAATGGTTTAACTTGTATATTGTAACATTAAATATAAATTAGAATTACACTTAAAGGAAAGAAGGAGCATCAATTTAAGATGTGCAGATGACACCATTCCATTAGCAGAGAATAGCAAATACTTGGAACAATTATTGAAGAAAGTAAAAAGGCAGATTGAACATCAAGACAACAAAATAATGACCACAGATAAGTTACATAGCTAAAAAGCAGATAATGAAAGCACTAATAAGTTCAAGATTTTTCTTGGCTCAGTAATTAATCAGAATGGAGATTGTGGTCAAGAAATCAGAAGAACACTAAGGCTTCATCTGCACTATAGAATTAATACAGTTTGGCCCTACTTTAACTGCTATGGCTCAGTGGTGTGGAATTGTGGGAGTTGTAGCTTGTTGAGGCACCAGCACTATTTGGAACTAAAGACCATGATTCCATTACATTGAGCCATTACAGTTAAAGTGGGTTAAAATTACATTAATTCTACAATGTAGATGCACCACATGACTTAGAAGGTCAGCTATGAAGGAACCAGACAAGGTCCTAAAGTGCAAAGATATATAACCGAAATTAAAGTTAGAATTTTCCATGCTGTGGGATTTCTGTTTTCTATATTTGGTTGTGGCAGCTGGGCAGTAAAGAAAACTGATAGGAAGGAATCAACTCATTTGAAATATGGTGCTGAAGGAGAGTTCTATGGACACTGTAGAAAGATACTTTAATGGGTCTTAGAGCCAATAAAGCCTGAATTCTCACTATAAGCCAAGTTGACTAAACCGAGACTTTGGATGATAGCACAACTTGGAAGCCTCTTATTAATATATATCGAAGTCAATATGGCAGCAGTCAACAATAACAACAAATAGTTTTGTTTACAATTTGAGTTTGATTCTCCTGACCAAGCCAATCACACAACTGTTAAGATTTTTATTTATAGCTATGGGAGTATACAATTCTATGTTAGGTTGAGGGCCGTTTTTTTCTTCTGAAGAGACTGCTTTTGTTTTGGACTAATCTACTTGGGGCACATGCCGCCAATGGGAAGAAAGGAAGCCAAATTTGGGGCTGAGCCGAGAAATGTCACTTCTCTTTACAAAATCATAATTTCCCCAGAATTCTACTGGCCATGGAAGCTCAGACATTTTGGGAACCAGAACCCAAATGTAGCATTTTAAAGTTCTTAAGTGCAGTTGAAAATCAGGCTATTTCTCTTTTGCTGCAACATGTCTTTTTAAAATCCATCTTTGCCTTACCTTTCTCTCTGTGTTTGCCTTGCCTCTTTCTCTGTGCTGAATGTAATTCCAGGAAAGGAACAGATGGCTATTGCCAGAGGTCTGAACTGGGCACTTGCTGAGGGCTTTTGAAATTAGGATGAGAATAGCAGGTTGCTTGATCTACATGGATGGCTCAGAGAATATTTTCAGAATATCTAAACAGACAGAGATTTTCTAGAGGGTACTTGACATACAAATTAAGGAATTTGTATGGATGAGAATTTTAAGGACCAAATTTATGTCAACTCCGTTCTAAAATGATTGAAATAATAATGATTCAACACTAAGGGAGCAGTGGTGCTACAATATCTCAAAAGGAGTTTTTCAAAGGACCTATGAAATGATGGAATCAAGGCAAAACAATGTGGGTGATCTGAAGTATTTTTGAAATGATTTGTTTAAGATGTTTTGAAGATTTTAAATACTTCCACACATCTTTTAATAAATGCACATTAAATAATTATCTATTAATAATACATGCACATCCTTAGAACTTAGTTTGGACAACCACAGAATTGGAGATAAGCAGAATGCACCATCAAAAGCTTCATTTATAAGTCTGGAGACTATTCTTTTAGCCAAAATTAGAAAAGAATGAATACAGTTTGGGAGTTTTAGGGATCATGTATTCCTACAGTGATGCAAGGACAAGTCGAATACATACTTTATTTTGTTTGTGCTCAAGTACTGTTTACATTTATGTATTAATTTAGAAATGTTAGTCAAAAATGAACTTCAGAAACCTGGATCAATTTCTCCGAAGGTCAATCTAAGTACTGTACCATCTCCTTATCTGAGTAGAGTGGTGAAAGACAAGAACGTAGTCTTTCCCAGGGCAACTCAAAGAAGCATTAACCACAGCACCTTTTTAAATACCTTGGTGGGAAAATGGCAGTAGTAGCCCTTTAGTACTTCCCCTTAAGAGGGGGATGGTATTTCTGTCAGAATCTCACCTTTTGCCATTCTATTCAAAGAAGGGGGTGGTTCTTTTTTTGGGTCGGGGGGGGGGGGGGTTTGCACTGTCATTTTTATCAATAACAACACCAGATCTTTCCTCTGAGTAGAGCAGTAAAAAGCCTTCTTGAATGTCTGGACGGGAAAATGGTGGCAATGGCATCTGGGGTGGCTGCCCACCTGAGAAGGCACTGGAACTTTGCCCTCTCCATGAAATGACACTAGGCTCATCCACAGGTTATATCAAAATCCATAATTTTGCCCCCTAAACGTGCCCTCAATTTGAACATGGGGTTGACTTATATATGAGTATATATTCATATCAAATTAAGTAAGTTAATATACATTCTGAAAATTATAACCCTTTCCTGGTTTTCTGGTGAGGCCTCTTCTCCTCAGTTACTTTGTTTCTGAACTCCTAGTTTATGAAGGCTTCGGGAATATATTATACATTGCTTAGTCAAAGTAGGGGCATCAGTACTTCTTTCAAACCACATTCCTCAAAGCAGTGCCAAAAACATTATGCCTTGTCAAAGGGATTTAATTTCACTACAGATTTAATTTCACTACAGCATTTATTTATTTGATTTTCAGCACAATGCTGCCTGAATTAACCAGTTCATAATGGTTGACTGGGGAGTCAAAGGTTGCAAATCAGTAATTAAGCAGAAATTGAAATAACTGGTATTGGGACTTGGTTCCCTTCAACAGATAATAAAGCTATAATTGTTTCCTCTTAAAACATCATAAATAAGTTTTCTTTCTGTTTTCCCATATAAAATGAACCCATCAAATGTTATCTTCAACTAAGAAGTCTCAGTGGCAAGATTAGCAAATTTTTCATTGTCTGTATCTCTACAGAATTAGCTAAGCAGCCATCCATCCACACTCACACTGCAGACAGAAGTAAAATAATTTATGGTATGATAATTAAAATCTTTTCTCATTCTCTGCAATGCTTTACTTTTTTGGGTTGTTGGTATACTTTGGGGAAATTTGCTAAACAACAATATAATTATTCTGAGGTAGAAACAAACTCCTTACTGTGAGAACTTGGTGAGTGGTGACTGTGAGTATAAATTGTTTTTGTGTGTCTGATTGAGGAATGGAAGAGAGAGAGAGGATGGTAAAAATATAATTAAAATGTATACTGTCTATTCCCTGCTCATCTTACACAAAACAAACACTAATGAGCAGGATATTTTGCTGCCTTAGGCTATAATATATACTCATGTACAAGTTAACCTCATGTATGTAAAGAGCAGGTTCAGGGGCCAAAATAATGACCCTTGGATAAGTCAGGGGTCATTCTGTGGAGAGGGGAAAGCACCAGTGCTGCCAAAGCCACCATTTCATCACCCAGGCATTTAAAAAAATCGGGCGCCATGCCACCATGGAGAGGGTATAGAGGGCATTGGTGCTTCTTTTAGGCTCCCCCAGGATGATCTAAGCTTTTGCATTTTGCCACTCTGCACAGAGAAGGGGATAGTTACCCTTTTAAAAATAAGAGCTAAGATACCATATGTGACGGACCTGTAGATAAGTTAACCCAAGATTTTGGGGTTAATTTTTTCCTATAATTTCTACATTTCTACATGAGTATATAGGGAAATTCACACCAGTAATTTCAGTCACCCCTAATTTGTTTTACATCTGATCTTTTCCTTTCAATTCTAGAGGCTCAAGCTGGTCTGCTCTCCACAACCGGATTGGGGACCATTCTTGGCTAAGCATCGTGGGGAACGTTACCAGAACATGATAGACCCACTGGGAACATCATCTCTTGGACTTAAACTGCCACCAAAAGATTTTGAATTGGAGACACCATGCTAGTAACTTTCCCACTTGTGGCCCTGTTGTACAGCCCATTGCTTTGATCTTTCTTTCTTTCTTTCTTTCTTTCTTTCTTTCTCTTACAGTGCCTGAAAGTGGTTGTTTAGGAAGTAAGATTTATTGTTGCATGCATACAGTAAAGAACTAAATAGACCACTTTAAGTACTGGGATTTAGTTCCTATAAAGTGGTGCCCAGGAAAGAGTGCTTTCACTGTGGAACAGTGACAATCAGTGAGTTATATTAGGAAATTGTTTTTGTGAATGTTGGGCCAATTCTGCTCTTGGGACTAATTAATTTACATAACTTAGTAAACTTAGTGGCCACATGGGTAGAATACAAGTTTTCTGGCACCATCTGGGCACTCCATGACCCCTACATCAATTTGCTGAAACAGAAGTGAGTTGGCAACAGTGAGTTCACAATACAAGGCAGATAACTCATCAGAAGTTATATGTTTACACTTGCTTGCCATCTTGTTGGTTTTTTTTTAAAAAAGGTATGCCTTTCACATAACAATATCAGTCCAGCACAGAGGTTTCGAATGCGTGATTTTAGGACATGTAAAATGCTGGAGTAAAATTTTGGGTACAAATTGACTATGCATTGCTGAAGGTAGAAAAAGCATACCCATTTGGTTTCCTGCTCTGTACTTATTGAGCTTAAAGGGCATTAAATTAAGCATAACTATCTGATGACTAAAACCAAGTGGTTCAGATATCATCTAGAAAAACCTGTTTTGTACCTTTGCCCCAAGTTATAACTACAGTATCACAGTATTTTAATGTAATGTCTGGTTGTAACTGGATACATAAACAGAACAATCAGGCTAGTAGCCTATTGCTACTGACTGACTTGAAACCAGTTCTGATACCAGGTGGCTTAGAGGTCAAAGCCTTTCCTGTCCTGATATCCTTTTATTGAAAATTCTGAGACATCATATGTGAAGATATCTGTACTCTTATACAAAGTGGTGGCCCCTTATTTTGCACCTGAAGTTATGATTGTCACATGCTCACAAAGTAAGAGTTGTATGTATGAAACACCATCAAACATTGCAGCTGAGAATATTATGCAACATATGGAACTAGATTCCTACCTCGGTATTGCTAGATAAAAATGCAGAAGGGCTTCATGCAGAATTTGAACAGAGTACTTCACTATTTATGCCATAGGAGCCAAACATGGCCCAGGAATTCTGCCAACATGTCTTCCATTCAGAGCTGCCTTTAATGCATGCAAAAAGGCAGTCTTCCAGTAAGGTGCACTGATACAATATGAGACTTGGCCTTGATGCAGAAAGATTAGTGAGCCTTTTAGGCTTTTTAAAGATGTGTTGTGGGGCCAGGGGAAAAATAATATAAAAGCATAAGAACATATAATGTGTGAGACAAAGCTGCATTATTCTGAAATCTGATGTACAAGAGTGCCAAGCTGAGGCAGATGGGCACCTCTGTCTTAATTAATTTCATGCCGTTCAGTTAATGATCTACTAGCCTCACTTTCATTAAAATGCTTTTATTCTGAATATATTTACTGATTCAATTTCACTGATAAACTGAAGAAGAGCAAATCCTTCTTTTCAGTTTATCCCATGTACAGTTTCTTTGCTTTCTTCACTTTTGTTTACAATCTCAAGAAGCCATCATATAATTTGTGCCTAAATTTATATTGCTACAGTGGTATCAATATATATATATACTCAAGCTTCCATGTACAAAATAACTGTTAGCATTTACCTGTGTAGTTCAGCAGTGTGATTTGCCCATGCAATTTTTACAAGGTTCTTTATATACAGCTTTTTGATGTATTCTCCTCTTTCATCCCGCAGGGTGAGGTAAATAACTAAACCCTGAAGTTATTCTAAATAGATATTATTATTATTATAGTTATAACGTACAATTCATCACAATGACAGATTCTTCCTCAAAACAGCAAGTCTGATGTGTACATACTTTTATTCCCCTGTCCTCATCCTCCTGATCACTTCAAACTCACAGACCACCAACCACCATTGTAACTCAAAGTAGTAGAGGGACAGTGTAGAAATAAAGAGGAATAACAAGAACAGGTGAAATTATATCTTGCTGGTACATTATCCATTAACACTTCTATGTTGTGCTACTTAGGGCACATAGGGCACACTCCATAGCATTGCACTGCAATATGTGGAGTGATATACAAGAATTAATCAATAGTTTTTAAACTATCAAGTATGTCAAAAATAAAGCTTTTAAGAATGCATTCCATGAACTCCATAGAAATAACCACTCTGTTTACTGTACATGCACTATACAATGAGGGAGAAAAATACATCTTTAATAATTGGCAAAACTGTAACCTTTAATATCATCTTGTATTCTATACATGCATATATGAGGTTTTAAGATGTGATCAGTGTTCATGTAGTGTGTACTAGTGCTGTTATATGTCCCTTTGAAATATCTTAGCAACCAGTGTGTAGAGGTGGTGAGTTTAGAGTAGTTTTGCTTGTTTATTTCCCCCTCCCAGTGTTTGTAGTAGCCAGTCTAACTGTATTTCCTTTCAGGGAACTGTTCTTTATATCATAACCTTTCCTTCATCTTCCTATTTGTCTTCCCATTACAGGGTCTCAGGTAAAACTTGAGTTTGAAAAAAATATATATCTCTGTTTTGTAGATTTACTGTTTTCATCCTGTTAGGGAGAAACATTTTAAAAAAAGAATCTCAAATTATTGAAACTTAATAGATGTTTTAAAATATATCTAAATATTCATAGTATATTTATATGGAATACAGAAATTTGGGGGCATGTTCCAGTCAAAGCAAAAACTGAGCACTTGCCATTGATTTCAGTGGGAAAAATTAAAAGTATGATAAATTACTTCCATCCAAATAACTGAGAGTTAAATGTGCTTGACTTTGGCTGGACTGTTGCCTGGAATCATTTTGCTGAACTTTCTCTTCTGAAAGGGCAGAATAATGTTGCCAGTGCTCTGCTGCTATTGAATGACTGTTAGCCCTTGGGCCGCCCACAGGAAGCACAACCAAACAAATTGCCATCAGTTGGAATGGAAAAAGATTTTAAAATGTTCTACTAGCCCACTCCCCATCCCCATATTAAGCACAATTTGCTGGGATCGTCCCCTCAGATATTCTAGGGAATTCAGGGACCTGTGCAAAGTCTCTTTAATTCCACTGGGCAGGTGATGTTTCAGTATGTTGTGTGTGCCTTTCAGGGGTCTGTCTTGATCCTGATGTAGCTTGAAGAATTAAGAATGCGCACCTTTTGTTAGTGTACCAGCCTTAATTTTGAGTGCTGGGGGCACTTTTGCCAGATGATTCAGTGAGGAACTACTATTCTACACTTGGTCTAGGATTTTGTTTGTTTGAGCTGTGCTTTAAAGATCCACTTCAGTTTCATAATCCTGAGCTGAAAACTAACTTTTGCAAATATACATCAATGTGTATTGGGCACTAACATGAGTAATTAGAATAGAATATTTTATTAATGATAAAGAAAAATGAACTTAAGTCAATTTGTACTGGGTAATAATAGGTAATCTTATTTTGTGCATTTTAAAAACTTTTCTGCTTCAAATCTGACTTTATTCTATGGGTTATCCCTAATCAAGTTACGTTCTAAACACAGATTATATTTTTTGTATATTTTATTATTTGCTTTTTTAGAAAAAAACAGTGCTTAGTCATGAGCGTTATGGAAACATCATTCAAAGCAACTACTAAGGGAAGCAAAACATTAAAAATATCAATTAAAAGCAAATTGCCATTTTCCCTCAAGCTATGGGAGGTTTCAGATTCTTGAAGGAGGCTGCATATTATTTCAGACTATCAGTGGTAAATTCAACTGATACAGTAACCACAATATAAATTTTAAAAGTCTAAAAGACCAAATGTACGGGTTTTTCTCATTTTTTTTCTTATATGTGGGAAATAACTAAATATTCTTCTGTCTAGAGCAGAAACTACATACAGTTCAGTAGTAGAGCATACTCACTTCATGTGGAGAAACCCCTGTTCACTCTCTGGTATACAATGCTGGAAAAGTGTATTTTTAGAGAGAGCTACTGCCAGTCATTGTAAACACTACAGCACCAGGCTCTGACTAGAACTGGATTAAGACATGCATAGGACCTATGCTATATCAGATTTAAGATGCCCCAGGTGCTCTCCTTAACTCCAAAAAATGTATTCTAAAAGAATCAGAAATTTTGCATTTTGAGTTTTTCTTTTCTTTTCTTTTTTTCTTTTTCTTTTTCTTTTTCTTTTTTCTTTTTTCTTTTTTTTTTTTGCATTTAGAAGCCTTCCTCTGTCTAGTGCCCTGAAGCTCAACTTGTTAAACTTGCACATAAATTTATCCCTGGCTGTGACTCAGTCTAAAACAGCTTCCTATGCCCACGTTTTATATTACGCTGGCTAAGTATTTTCATTTTCATGGAAAGTAATAGGCTCCTCCTGCACACCTAATGTTTATAACTGGTACCACAGCAGTGCCAATACAACCTGGAAAATAGCCATTATTTTCTGTAATTGAAAATAAATAGGATACCGTTGTGCCAAAGTTATGGGTGGTAGCAACATATTAGTTTCAGTGCTAACTTACACACATGCTGAACTTTCCCCAGTTGTTACAGGTTGAGCATTCCTTATCCAAAATCTTTGGGACCAGAAGTGTTCTGTGTTTTGGTTTTTTGCTTGATTTATTTTGGAATACAGGATGGGATCTGAGTTTGAAATGCATTTATCTTTCATATACATATTATACACGTAGCCTGATGGTAATTTAAACAATATTTTTTATTAATATTGTGTATGAAACAGAGTTTGCCTACACTGAACTATCAGAAAGCAAAAGCATCACTGTTTCAGTCACCTATGTGGATCATTTGGGATTTTGAAGTATTTCAGATTTTGGAATTCTGGATAAGGGATACTCAACCTGTACCAATAAAAGTTCAGTATTTTACCTAAATTGTTTGTCCAAATAGGCTGCAAATTTCCCAGTTGCTTTTTAAAAAGAGGCTATAAATTCTGGCTTCAGACTACCATTATACTTTCTTGAGAAGCTTAATTTTCCAGGTCTGCTATAGCAAATTCCCTCTCTGAGAAGCATATTTGTTTGAACCGGAACAAACTGTTGACCTCAAAATACGGGTGCCCGAATTTGGTCTGATTCATATAACCATCTGGACGCATTCTGGCCTTCCTGAAAAGCCTTTGAAAGTTGGTTCCCTGCCAGTCATGCACAGCTGTGACCACATGGTGTTCTCAGAGTTTGGCCAACACTGTCAGTCACTCGAAAAAGGCAGGGGGTG